CGAAAGCGTGCAATCCTGAAATTTTGCAATCCGGGAACGTGGCAATCCAGAAACCTTAAACACTAAGCCCTAAGCCCACAAGTTCGCTATACTTATGCTTTATAAATATATGCTCCTTACACTCCTAATTAAATCCATTCACACTTTGTCAAAATTAAGATACAGAGGCGGGTATATACGCATAAGAACATTTCGAAACTATATTTTTGCATGTATTATTTCTCACTACGTGTAACAAATCTGAGAACGATATAAATGACGACCCCCATAAATAATAAACGGCCACGATATACATGTATAATTATGCGAATACGTTATAATAGTAACCCCCCTAAATACTGATACAATGTAACTTTGAGCCCGCGGCTCTACACCGCCAAAAAATTTTTTGTCGCCGTTCTTGTATGTAAAAGGGGTATAATTTATTCTGTTGTTACTAACTTCCTCAACCTTATACATAACTTAAAAAGAGTAAAGTGTTATTCCACATATAGAATGTTGCTCCCGTGAATATGCTCTTTGCTCCTATTACACCGTTAAAACGGCGACATGATTGATCAGCCCGTGCTGAACTTGTGAAAAATGTTGACCCCTTTAGTCAACTGTTACATCATATAATATGTACCAAAAATGGGTTCTTCACTGTGTTCTTCCGTACTTCCTTCTTCCCTTATATTAGGGTGCACGTGAACCATTTATGCAAATTATATTTATATATTTAGGTAAGAATAGTAAATCATATACAACATTGATTTTATCCATGTTCACTATTGGCCGATGAAGAAAAGTACTACACGAATAATCCATACACGTAGATGTGGAAGAAGGAGAAAACAATTCTATAATTCATATATATATAAACAATATATTGCCACTACTGACATTTTCTAAAGGGAAAAAAAGAAACAGAATGACGTTCCTTGTGAAATTTTCTATATTTATTTGTGCCCTGTGCTTTGGGCAACTTGCTGACGGTGTATGATACCAACAACTGTATTTTGACAGTTCTTACATCTACCATGATTTACTACTTACTCCCGTGCTAACAACTATAAACCTACCTCCCTACCACTCATTTGCACGATCTACGTCCTTCTATATACCGTAACACTCGTATATATATTCCCCTTTTTTGTCATTCGTGTTAGGCGAGTACCATAGGCACATCTTCGGGCAATGGCACAAGCGAATATGGCACAGATGTTGGAACTGCGGCTGCAAGTACAATTGCAACGACCAGCGTGTCGTTGAGTGATGGCACGGATGTGGGCACACGGGGTCAACGTAATTTTTACGACGATCATGCGACGGGTAGTCGCGCGAAGAACACGGTGTTCGTGGACATGCTGAGAAAATTCAAGCCCAGGGACAAAGTAAAGGAGCCACGACCTATAAAGAGCAAGCCACAGGGTGCAACAGCACAGAACAAGCTCAAGCAACTGTGTCAGAAATTGAAACAGTGTAAAATGGGGAGAAGAGCATGGATCAAGCTTATAGTTGTTTTCTCAGTCCTGTATCCATTCCTTATGTCCTCCGTAGGACAAAGCACGATTAGTTACGCGGTACATGGTATCTTTATGTTACAAGTAGCAGCTCTTATGAAGCTTCCCGGGCTTGCACCTTTCATACTATTTGTAATTATCTATTTGTGTGTGCTACTGAGATTCTGCCGCTCCAAGACAGCGAAATGTTTACTGGATAAAATTTGGAAGAAGAAGGAGAAGGAGGAAGCTGGCGCAGAAACGAAAAGCAACGAAGGAGAAGTAAATAAGAAACAGGAAGCACTTAAAGAGCCAGGAACATTTCAGAAACAGGAAGGACCTACGAAGAAGGAAGCATCTGGGATATTAGAGTTACCTAAGAAACCTGAGACACGCGGGAAATCAGATGTACCTCATAACCAGGAAACACCTAAGAAACCAGAAGTATCTAACAAAACGGAGGTACCTTGAAAAACAGAAGTTCCAAATAAACCGGAAATACGCGCAAAAGCGCAATTACCTCATAAACCAGAATTACGCGTGAAACCGGAATCATGTGGAAAATCAGAAGTGCCTAAGAAATCGGAAGCACGTGCGAAAATAAAACTACCCTGGAAACTAAAATTACCGGGGAAACCATAAGTAACGTCGTGTATGCCACTTCCGGCAGGCAACTTCACTGTTACAGTATGCTTATATATATTTCTTATATTTACCTGTTTATAACACTTCGTACTATGTTTATGACAGGGTTTATTAATGTTTATATTATTTACCATATAGTTGCGCCTTAAATTATACTGATGTTTATATCTGTCCAATGTACATGGTTT